GATGATTTTTATACAATTATGTAAGATTTGTATTAAAATAAAAATTTGAACAAATGTTTGAGTTTTTTTTTTTCTTTAGGGCAGCAATAGAAGAAGGTAAAGCAATATTTCATAATATACGAAATTTTGTTCGATTTCAATTGAGCACGTAAGTTTTAAAATTAAATTAAATAAATATTATTTTGATTAATTTATTTGAAGGAGTATTGCTGCATTAAGTTTAATAACACTTTCAACTGTTTTTCATTTTCCTAATCCATTAAATGCTATGTAAATTCTTTGGATTAATATAATTATGGATGGACCACCAGCTCAAAGGTTTGTTTTATTTAATTAGAAAAGAAACAATAAAAAAAAAAAGAAATTTCATCAATGAAAATATTTAGTCTTGGTGTTGAACCTGTTGATCATGATGTATTAAAAAAACCGCCAAGAAAAGTTGCAGATTCCATGATTGATAAACAATTAATCGCTCATATAGTTACAAGTGCTACTGTAATTGTTGTTGGAACTTTATGTGTTTTTTATGCTGAAGTATGTTAAAATTGATTTATACAAAAAAAAAAACAAATTAAAATATAATTTTCTGTATATTTATTAAATTGAAGATGAGAGATGGAAAAGTAACACCAAGAGATACAACCATGACATTTACATGTTTTGTCTTTTTTGAAATGTTCAATGCACTTAGTTGTCGATCTCAAGTAAATATACAAAAATTTAATTAAATTTTTATATTCAGAACATTTTTTTTTTCTTGTTTAGACGAAATTTATTTTTGAAATTGGTCTTTTTTCAAATCGATTTTTTCTTGTTGCTGTTTTACTTTCTATTATTGGTCAATTAGCTGTGATTTATTTACCACCATTACAATATGTATTTCAAACAGAAGCGCTTAGCGCTTCAGGTATATGAAGAATAATATTCTATTTATTTTACATGATCTAAAAGAAGTTTTGAAGTAGTTAATGTAGAAATTTGCAACGCTCAAAAACCATCACAAACGTTCATGAATAGTAAAAACAAAAATATGTTCCACCACAGATAGAATAAAATAATTTTTCGGTGATTAGCGATGGCAATTATAT